AAAAATGGATGGTAGATATTTCGTTCATATGTAACTTCCCACTTCCGTTGGGAACTAGTACCCTGTTTATTTCTAAATTTCCCAGTTAACCGCGCTTTCATGTAAAAAGATTATATCTTGAAAACTCACTTAAACCGACTGCATGAATACTGCAATGGTTAGTGCAGTCTTGTCTGTTCATTGGTGTATAGAAACTCATCCCTTCAATATACACTGCAGAAGCTGTGGAAACTTACAGAAAAAAAAATCTGAATAGTTTTTTGTGGATGCTTATTTCTTGTCTTCAGGAGAGAAAGGTTTTTAGGGAAGTACTTTTTTACCAGTTTGTCGGATTATTTTCCTGTAAGAACTAAGCGCTACTTTTGCTTCCCTTAAAGACGACTATACTTTTTAATGAAAATGAATTAAAATTCTTATTGAGTGCTCTTGATGCTTACGAATATATTCGTCTCCTTGGAAAAAACTCACAAAATTTTTTCCCGAGATACGGGTCTTCTTATTTTATGAAAGGAGCTCATAAAAAAAATTTCAGCCAAATCGGGGATCATGAGGTCTTTTTTTGCCAAAATCCGTCCGGCTTGTAAAAGAATGACCCATATGTTATTGTCAATTTAGATTTTAAGTATAATTCTGTAATCAGTGTTGTATGAATTTTTAACAATCAATAATAAATAATAGTAATTATATTGTACTTTAAGCAGTATCTAATATCTTTTTCTAAGTAAAATTTATATAATTGCACAACAAAACAAAAAATATATATATAACAAGTACTCTTAAGGTTAGATTATTTAATGAAAAACTAAAAAGATATTTTGTTAAGAGATCAGATTTAGTTTATACATATAATTACAAGATGATATCGAATCTATATCCATTATAACTAATGATATTTCCTAAAAACCGATGAACGCAGGTAAAATAACATTGCAAATAGTCGTATTAATATTCTTTTCATAAGTTCTCACAATATTTTCTCATAAGCCCATAAGCATAAAATACTACTTTTTCGTTACGAACCTAAAAAAAAAATAGCAAAAATTGTAAACAAAAAAAAAAATTACCTAAAATAATTTTCCTTAAAACGAAGCTGCGAAAATTTGCTTATTAATCTCTTACAAACAAAATAAATTGAATTAAACAGTGAAAGTAATTTACTTTCACTTACTTCCTACTCATTACTATGCAAATCCCACAAGCCCGGCAGATAGGCCAGTTACGTAGAAATAAAATAATTAAATAAAATAAGAATAAATTCGTTAAAAGGAAGTACAACAAAATTTTGCCAAAAAAGGAGAAAAGTTGGTGAAAGGAAAGTAAGGATAATACATATATATTGTATATATAATAATAATAATAAAGATGCACAAACCTTTTTAGTCCAATATATCGACGGCACGGGATTACCAGAGCCTTTGCATTCCAAAGTAATTGGGCCGCCTTTACGTGCCTGTAACTGACCGGAAGTGGGAATGGCGCGTACACTGGGCGGAACTGTAAGCAGATATTAAGAGTAAAAGTTTTAGACGACAAATAGATAAATTTAGTTAAATATTATAACCATGTTTTTTGTAGGTTGTAGAAAAAGGGAAATAGTTGGTTGTGGGAATGGAAGGATAAGCTATTTTTGGTAATATCACATAAATGCGCACAGATTTAAAATAAACTTTCTGGCAAGTTTTTACAGGAAAATTCCATTGGATTTAACTTATTTTTTATTTATTTTTTTTTGTTGCTTGCTTTTTCTGTATCTTTTATTAATTAAAATAAAATTTTATTGACTGAAGCATTTACAAATAATGTTGAGTGAATCATTTGTGCATAAATTAAGGAAAGTTATTTAAAAATTCATGTACTGCCATTGCCGTTTCAGCTGAGCGAAAAAGTTTTGTTGGCATAATTTGTAATTATTTTCTATAAATGGCAGATTAAGACGCATTTAAGTGTGATTAATTGAAAATTAACGAAATCAGCAAAAGTGTTCATAATGAGATTAAATTACTTAAGTAGAATTTAATTGTATATTCAATTTGTTGTAGTATTAAGAGTGTAGAGTTTGGTGCCAACTTTTATCAATCGAAAATAAATGAAATTACAATCTTAATACTGTGTAAATTGTTTTATTTTAAAATTAAATAATTTGTATTTATTATTTGAGTTTAACTTACCCAATATTTCCACTGTGTGCACTTGATCACGATTTATTTTGTCACTGATTTGACACACATAATCCCCAGCATCTTGTGGCTCTAAATCTGATATTTCTAAATTATAACCATCTATCAGTCTTATGCGCTCATCCCTTGTCACCATAATATTTGAGGCTGTAAGGACATTTGTGCCGCGACGCCACAATAAAACGAAAGTTCCTGTAAGCAAAAACGAAGAAAAGCAACATTAGAAATGGGCATAAGCTATAATACTTGAAAATGCTAAATAAAATATAAATGTAAATGTAAATGTAAATGTAAATATAAATGTAAATACATATATAATTGTGTAAATGTGGCATGAAGTCGAAAAAGAAATAACAAACTCAAAGACCCAGAAATGTTAAGAAAATTGTTTGGAAAATGTTAGCACATTTATAACAAAGCATCACAGCCAGCTTATAAGGACGCTGCCAGTCTCACACACCACTACTCGTACATTTCTTAGCTACTACTTACAAACACACACACACACACACACACACAAATGCACATATCCTTGCACAACACTTAAAGCCAACTTTCACCATATGTTATAGTTCCTTTTTATATCCTCAGGCTGTTGAGCTGCGAACATGGCCATATTTTTACAGCACAAACGCATATGTGTTCGCTTGTGTTTTACTACAACATTTACTATAATTTCACTGTTCTAGTACTATTTTTTTGTTTTCATCTCCTTTTTTGGAATAATATGCTATTTTTATATATATCCTGTTTCGCATATCCTGTTGAAAGATGTTTGTATAGAACAATTTCTTGCTTTTATAGTTTGTGCGCGCTAATAAATGACATAATCTTCCAGTCGCTCTAGAGCACTTGATTCTGGTTTGTCTTTGCTTCCTTCATCCCTCCCTTCATCCCGAGTATAGCCCACCATTTTTCGTCATGTTTACTTTTTTTAAGTGGTATTAAGTAGTTAATAATATGTTTATTTATTTATTTGGAAGTTTAATGACACTAAATTAGGTAATAATTTTATTGAAAGTGCGTGTACAGCTTTTATTTGATATTCATACTCTTGCCGTTTCACTTGAAATCCCGCCAAAGCAAATGTCTTCCGACACTTAAGTTAGGCTGTTAATGTTATTTTTATTAAGAGATTAAAGTCAAGCTATGCATAAATTGCAATATGACAGATTATGGGAAGATTTTTGACATCCTTATATTTTCGTTAGATTAGGTTTGTAAGCTTGATAGACAATTTACGTGGGTTTTGTTTATAAATAGCGCGCACGTGTATATTCCAAATAAATACATAAAAATTAGCATTTATAAAAAACTCGAGTAAAGATAAAAAAAATAAAATGAAATGAAAGAAAGCTTGAAATAAAATTTTAATAAAATAGGAAACAAAGTAGGAAAAAATAAAGGAATAACTCTGAAAGATTATTTGAAATAATGCAATAGATTAAAAGTTATTTTTCATACAATTTCTAAAATATATATACGTAAGAAATAATAATAATACGCTTATTATTAAGTTCTAAATATTGTTTATTAAATGCTAATTGATTATTGTTTGTTAAATGTTCAGTGATTATCGCAATACACTCTCCGACCGACCACAGACGACCGACTCCCTCCACCAACTGTCAACAACTGCTTGGCTTCTCTTCTGACACTATTGCTATCTGTCATGATTATAGTGATGATACCCTGTTACATATATATTTAATAAAATATATATTTTTCAAATACATTTTGACTTTTTAAATAGAGTTGCCTGAGCATGGAGTGACTGAAGTATAGTGAACACTTCTTATAGTTCTCTATAAATTAACTATAGTTCTGTCATAGATGGTAATAGTACCATTCCGGAAATAGTTTTAGAAATGGTAATAGGGAGAGGTTAAGCAGTTCTTTCTGTAAAACTGGCAATGTTTAAGTATTAATAGTTTTCTAACCACTGCAGTATTTTTAAAATATATATCGTTGCTAAAAAGAAAACTAGAATTTGCCTTGAAGTGAAAAATGCATTGCAAAAAAATGTTTATACTATCTGATACTTAATTTAATCTCTACTGCAATTGTACTTAGTTTAAATTACATAAACAATTTTTGCTTTCAGCTTTAGCTTTACAAAAATATTTGTGACTTCACTCCACACCCCACAGCCTCTTACTCTTACTTTAAAAAAAACATTTTGACCAAAAAAATTCAAAAAGAAAATTCTTGGGCGTATATGGGTTAATTACTTTATAATTAATGAACAATTTAGTTACTGAATGATTGTGAAGAAGTTCTAGCTATTTAGAGATATATAATAACATAAAAGCAGATTTAAATGCTGAATTCAGCACGATTAGGGTACTTAGTCAATAGAATGTTATTTTGATAATATTTGCTATTCCGATTAAATTTTTTCAACACTCTGTATTCCAATACTGGGTAGTTCCTCAAACATCGTAAGTCAAATCATGACATCTAGTAAACTGTAAATGTTCTTTGATTACAAACTTGACTTCTGCTGTATTTATAAGTTAGACGATTCTAAATATACATTAAGGCCTGTTGTCCGATTGTGTTAGATAAATTTATATGAATAAATATTCTTAATTCAGATCTTATTTTTAGTTTGTTACAAAAGCTTAGAGTAATAGAGTAATTGATTAACTAAAATATATTTTCTTAAACTTATATCCAGAATGGCTTTAAGCCCATTTTAGTTCATAACCACATGTTATTATGATATAATAATTCATGTGTTATTATATTTAATCTTCATTCTGTCTTCTCTTTAATTTACATTTAATTTGCAACATAAAATTATGCGCCATTTAAATTGAAACAAAAAATTAATAAATTTCAGTAAAATCCCTACAATTTGGTAGACAGTACGAAAGAGAACATATGGCCATATAAGAAATCAATAAAACCTCAGCGAAGTAAGCCTTTTAAAAAAATATGCGCGTATTAATAGCAGTAAAGCATTAAATTTCATAACATTTCCCTTAGGTTAATAAAATAAATAAATATCCCAGAAATAAGGGAAACGGAAGTACACAAACTGAGTCAACAGAGAAAGAATTTTGGTAGGTACTTAAATGGCAAACTTATAAAAAGGAAACAGAAAATTTTATGCATGAATGAGCATAAAACAAAATGAAGGCAATATCAACAACAACAACAACAACAACAACAACAACAACAACAACAACAACAACAACAACAACAACAGCAATAGAAACTGCCTATATTACTTCAGTATACGTGACCTACGCACGCGGTACTGTTATGCGTACTGTACAGACAATGGGCACACTTACGGTCTTACGCTTTTACACATACGAGTATTACCGGAAACAGGAAACTAAGCATAGACACTCATGTTTTTATTGCTTTCGATTATTATTGAATGTTTATGAACATAAAAATAAATTTTTATTTTATTGTCTTTTTATTTTTGGGAGCTTTTATACTAAAATATATATTTTGCTTAACAAAAATATTACTTCACTCCTACAGGATTCAGGATGCTTCATTTTTGTTTTGGTTTTGGTTTCTTGGATTTACAGCATAAACTGAAATTCATCTCTATTAGCCATAAAAGCATAAATATCCTTATTGTTTACTGCCAATGCATAATTATGCGTATGTGTTTTATGCAGGCAAAATGAGGATGCCACATGTTTCATTCATGTGTTCGATGGTATGCTTGTGTGTGCTTTTCTGTGTACTTAAACAGTCTTGTCTTCCAATGGTTCGTCTTTATGCCGTCTTGCTTTTAGTCTCCGTATTCAATATGTCTGCCGTTGTGTTTCCTTTTAATGTGAGCCTCAAATCTAATAAAGCCATAAAAATTTAATTTAAAATTTCTGGCTCAATCACGCGAAAGTATAATTCGATATAAATTTATTTAACTTGCCTTTTATGAACTTTGAGGTTTTTATGTTCGTTATAATGTTTCATAGCTTTTTGCTATTTTTACTACAAAGCTGATTTTGTAGGATTTACTTAAAGGATTTTTTTTTTACATTAAATCTTAATATGTTTACTCTTACTTATATTTGGAAGTTTGTGTGAATTTTTCACTCACAGTTTCGAAGTTATTAAATTTTTCACAAAATCATGTTAGATGGGATGATGGGATTACTTTTGGTATAAACATTTTGCTAAAAAATTATTCGGATTTAATAATTAGGATATAAAAAAATTACTAATAAATTAAATTTATGTTTTCATCTCAAATTTAGTATATTTACATATTTTTTATGTCGCACAATACAATGATTAAAATTACAGACAGAATTCTGTATGTATCTTTTAGGGATTATTATAAATATTTCATGAATTTGTTATTAACATATATATATATTATAAACCAAGTTTCAAGTCTCTACACCTCTTAAAGGGGAGGACACGTAGTCCAATTTATAAAGCTTGCTTCTCAGTTTGCTTGTACTTATGAATTTTGTACGGTAATATTTCAATAAAAATGTTGAACTAGCATTTAGAAAGGGTGGAATCTTTTGACAGAGGAATATATTTGCCTCGTATTCATCAGTTTTTACAAACAGAAATTTTTTTGATAAGATGGTTTTCTAAACCGAACATTATTGCCGGTCCTATCCTTCCTTCTCAATCCTTTGCGTGGTGGCGTATTATAAAAGCACTTTTTTTTAATGGCCGATCCTATAACTGCATGGACACCAATTACTGTATTAATCTTAAAAAGGTTTAAGCTTAGAATTGATTGGCTGGCTTAAAAGAGCCTCACATATTATATTGGGGGATTATAAGTTCAAAGAAGAGTGACACGTTTTTAGTGAATTTTAGCAATACGTCCAGGAAAAAAATCAATTCAATTAGAATTGCTTGGCAGGCTTGAAAGAGTCCCACATATCCAACTTGTTTCTAAGTACTACCAGCGGGAAAAACCACCATAAAAGTTGGGGGATTATAAATTCAAAGAAGAGTGACACGTTTTTAATGAATTTTAGCAATGCGTATAAGAATAAAAATCAATTTGATGTACTAGTATGTATAAGTGTATACAGGTTTTTTTTATCCAATTTTATATAAACATTCGAAAACACATAAGAGGTTCAACATCTTTCAAGCCTTTTATTCACTACTAAATCACACGAAAACCACAAAAGTTCGAATCGTAGAACACGGAGGAACTTGTACATAAAAGAAATATTCTACAAC